GCTGTTTTCTGTCCAAGGTTGAAAAAGCAAAAAGCACAAATAACTCTACAGAAACAGTTTTAAGAAAGACTAGTAAAATTGGTAAGAAGAGTACAAAAAGATGGAGATAAAGGAAATAAATATTAAGCAATCTAAGGTTGCTTATCCACTGTCCAGATTTTTTTTTTTTTAGAGGTTTTCGCTATAGGGCGCGTGTGCTCGCCAGACAGACAGAGATATAGAGACAGAAATCGAGATATCACCCCCCGGGGGGATGGTCACGCCGCAATCCCTTCTCCTCCATTCTCCTCCTGGGATCTTGGGCATGCACGCACACGCGCCCAGCATGAGTTTTAAGCCACTGGGTCCGGGACGCGAACCACGGTTGACTACGTGGGAGTCCAGCGACATAGCCATTATGCTAACTGCTGGTTCCCCACTGTCCAGATTTTATTATGCTAATTTTTAAATTTCTTTTTTGTAATTAATTGTGTGTGTGTACTGGAGAGTGTGTAATTCTGCATGTATGTGTGAAACAGAAAGCTCCACCCAATGGGGCCTGATCATGCTGCAATCTTTTTCCCTCCAATTCTCCATCCCATGTAATCTATATATGTATAATATATAAGTGTTTTTGCAGGTGTTTTAAAACTTTATGTACATAACGGCATATTGTGATATCTTTTTGCATCTTGCCTTCTTCATTATATTTTTGATATTTATGTATGTGGATAATGCTAAGGTTTTTGTCATAGGTTGTGCACGCTCTCTGGAGAGAAACAGAGAGACAGTGAGAGAGAACATGAGAAATCATCTTCTCGGGGGTATGACCATGACACAATTCCTTTTCCTTCATTCTCCTTCTGGGATTTTGAACATGCATGTATACACACCCAGTGTGATTTTTTTCAGGCCACTATGTGCAGAGCTTAAACTGCAGTGAGCCATGTGGCAGTCCAGCACCTTAACCATCATGGTACTGGCTGACCCCCTAGTTTATTGATTTTTTTACTACAATACAGCATTCCATTCTATAAATAAACCATTTATTTACTAAGTTTTATACAAATACCCAGTAAAATTGACACTACCCTCTTAAGCAATTTAAGTCTCCTTAACCTAGAAGAAGGACTGGTAACAGAGTGCCCCCAGTTGTTCTCCAAAGTCATTGTGCCTATTTACTTACTCTAGTTGGAAACACCCTGGATTTCTCTTTTCTCCACAATCTGATGGATGTCTCACTGACATAGTTTGCACTGAACAACTCATTAAATAACTAAATAATTACTTAGAGTTGAAAGTAGTTATCTCTGGAGGTCATAAAATGGGGACCAGAGTGCCCTTCCAAAACAGTTTTTTTTTTTTTTGAGGGGGGATTATGGTTTTATTTAGACACAGATAAAACCTGCACAGGAGCTGTCTACTCATCCTCTTTGCTGCGCAGCCTGGTGTTGGGATCGTTACTCTGACAGCCAGTTGGGCTGCTCTTTCCACCATGCCCTTGTGGTTCTTGGAGGGAATGTTATGAGCGAGCTCAGCACAGTGAGACTTCCTGCACATCAGCAGCACTTCCAGCTCCTTGATGTTGTGGACCAAGAACTTCCGGAAAATGCTGGGCAGCACGTGCTGTGTTTTCTGTTGCTCTGGTAACCAATGTTGTGCATCAAGATCGGGCCCTTGAATCTCCTCTGCATCCTGTTTCAACACCTCTGGGCTTCTGCCAGTTACACTTAATTTTGACATATGGGTCTGACTGGAGTCAGATGAACTTATTGGTCCTCTTTTTGATGATCTTGGACTTCATGAGGGTCAGAGGATGGCCATGATGCTGGGTAGGAGATGGCTGCTCCCTCACAGGCAGCGCCACAGGTAGCACCACCACCCGCACACATGCACACAAACTCACTGTGGTCTGTCCACAAAGGCTTCCTGATTGTATCCATGGGCCCAGGACTTCTGCATTTGGCATTTTGCTCTCAGATAGGAACACAGTTTGTTCATATACTGCCATCAGATCTCTGCTGAAATGTCTCCTCAAATTCCTGGCACTCTTTAACCCTTCATTGTGCTTTTCTTTTCAACATAACTCTACATAATATCTTGCATTTTATTGTTTCTCTCCCTTATCAGTCTTTGCCATCTTTGCTTCTATATCACGAACATCTCAGAGCCTTTAATACATTAAGGGAATGATAAATATTAAGTCAGTGAATAGAACAAATATGCACTGACCTGAAAACAGATTCACCAGGGGCCGGCAGGTGGCATGGTGGTGAAGATGCTAGATCCCACATGACTGACTCTGCATTTCAGGTCCTAGACCCACTGGCTTGAAAAACACACTGAACTGGGGACAGCAGGCGGTGTGGTGATTAAGGATGGTGGACTTCTACATGGCTGACCACGATTCGAGTCCCAGACTCGATGGCTTGCTTTCTCACTCCTACACCCCATTCTCACTCTGTCCCTCTGTTATCAAATTAAAATAAACAAATAAATGAAGTTAAATGAAATAATTCTAAAACACCCCCCAAAAAAAACATACTGGACGCACGTGTGTGCATACCCAAAATTTTGAAAAGAGAATGGAGGAGAGGGATTACAGCATGGCCATTGCCCCTAGGGAATAATTCTTTACTTTCCCTCTTTCTCTCTCTCTCTCTCTGGCAAGCACATGCATCCTATGGCAAAAATCTTAAAAAAAAAAAAAATTCACCTAAGAAGAATATATAAGTGGGTAACAGTTACTCAGTCTCCCACCTAAAACACTAATTAAAACAATGAAGTAATAAGTTTTGTTAGCAGGAAATAAAAATGAAGAACATCACTGACAAGGCCAGAATAGTACGGTGGTACAGTCTTTTTGGAAGGCAATTGATGGGGCCAGCAGGTGGCATGGTGGTTAGTGTTGCTAGACTCCCACATGACCAACTGCAATTCAGGTCATGACCTGGCAGTTCTCTCTCTCTCTCTTTCTCTCTCTCTCACTCTTGCTCTCATTCTCGTTCTCGCTCTCTGCATAATTGAGAAATGGTTATAATAATACAATTTTTTAAAACTTTGAAAAAAGGCAATTGATAGTAAGTACTCATATCTGGGCACAGGTAGTTATGTGATGGATACCACCATGGCAGTGTTAATAATAGTGAGAAACTAGAAACACCTAAATGCCTAATAACAGAGGCATTGTTAGATTATGGAACATACATTTTTTTTTCCTTAGTTTTTTGCCATAGGGTACATGCACTTACTGGAGATAGACAGAGAAGGTAAGAAGTCACCCCCCAGGGATATGACCATGTCGCAGTCCCTTCTTCTCCATTGTCCTTGTGGGATTTTGGGCAGGCATGCATACATGGCTGGTGTTCAGTCCTCAGGCTCTGGCACTTGAACTGCAGAATTAGCCATGTGGAATCCAGCACCTTAATCATCACACTGTCTGCAGGCCCAGAGCATACATATTTACAAAAAAGAAAACAAGGGCAGCAAGTTGGGACCAGCAGATAGCGTAATGGCTATGTCACTGGACTCCCACATAGTCAATTATAGTTCAAGTCCCAGAGCCAGTGGCTTAAAACTTAGGCCAGTCACTTGTGTATGCGTGCCCAAAATCTCAACAGGAGAATGGAGTGAGTTCTTGCATTCTGTCTCTCTGTCTCCGGTGAGTGCACACGCCCTATAGCAAAAATCTCAAAAATAAATAAATAAATTAAAAAGTAGGCAGCAAGTTTTTAAAAATGAGGGACAGCACATGTCCTATGTTGTGGTAGCATTTGTGTTTACAAAACAGAAGACTGAAAATTCGCAGAAAGAGATCTAATAGCATATACCCAGGACTTTCATTTTTAAATTTCTAGTCATTCATTTGACATTATTTCTTGAGCATGTAATATGTGTAAGGAGTTATTCCTAGGTACTAGGAATAGAGCAGTGAACAAAACAGAAAATAGAACCTGCCCTCATCGAGCTTCTATCCCAGTAGGATGAAAAAGACCATGAGCCACGCAAAAGTAAGGGCTTCTAGGTCGGGGTGAAAAGTACTAAGAGGAGTAAGAGGTACTTGTGGCTCAGCTGTCTAGTGGCATTTTTTGTGGTTATGGGCGTATCCTGTCATTTTACACCATCCCGTGCTGTAGCTGCTGGGCTTACATAGCTGTTGAGTACTTGAAATGTGGCTAGTATAACTGAGGAACTGAATTTTAAGTTTCATTTCATTTAAATTCATTCAGTTTTAAATTGCCATGATTGGCAGACAGAGCACTGATAAATGGTCAGGGAAAACCTTTTTTAACAAAGCAGTATTTGAACCTGAGACCTCTAAGAAACATGGCAGAATAGGCAGAGATAGAAGTAGAAGGGAAGGAGCCAGTGAAATAGAAGAGGACCCATCATGGAAGGTCTTGGTAGTTCGTGTTAGACTTAGCTTGTTTTCTGCACAAGGTCAGGAGCCATTGCAGAGCTTTGAACAGACTTGCGATGTGACCTGAATTTTAAAGGGTTGCTGGAACTGTTCTGATGATAAACAACGGGAGTGAGGACAGAAGCAGGGAGAGAGTTAGGCGGCTACAACATGGACCAGGCTGGAGGTGGCAGTGGCTGTGGAGATGGGAGAAGAGGGCAGATGAGGGATACTGTTGGATCGGATGAGGGGTTGGGGAGGGAGGGAAGAATCCAGGAGGGACTTCAAGGCTTTGGGCCTGGGGACATGAGGCAGGGAGTACCAGGGAAAAAGAACACTTGGGAAAGCACGTCAAGGGTCCTGGTTCGGGCACGGTGAGTTGGCGGTATCTGTAGATAGTGATACTAAGCAATGTCCTGACAGCGAGTGGCCCTGAATGGGAACAGCAGCTTCAGTGTTTCTTCCCGGAAAATCAGAGCCCACAGGTGACATTAGGGTGCTTCTCTTTCTTTAGGGACTAAGCAGGTAACCTGTCATCCACCTTTTCAACATGAAGATTGTATCTGTCCTTAGTTACATGTGGCTCTGATTTGGGTAATTATTTATTTGATTTCTCCCATAGAATGGCTCCTGAGCGAGTAGCGTCCCTGTCACGAGTCTGTGTCCCCCTCGTTACTCTGCCGGATCTCGAGCCCTTGGTGGAAGCCCTGCTCGTCTATCATGGACACGAGCCTCAGGAAGTTCTCTGGACCGAGTTCTTTGAAGTAGTGAACGAGGCCTTTTTGCTGTGAGTAATGCTTGTTTATCCTATTATCCAGCTTCCTTTTCCTTTTCTTGGAATGATTCAGTGTGTGGGAAGGGCCACATAAAAGTGGTTTTTAAGTACTTTGCCCTCAGTACCTCTTTGACCTCTTAGAAATGATTGAGTATCTCAATGAGCTTTCTTAAAATATGGGTCATACTTGTCAGTGTTTACCGTAGTCAGGCCGGCCCCATGGTGCAGCAGGTAGGCACTGTGCAGGGGAAGCTGGATCCCACGTGGCTGACTGCAGCTTCGCACTGGACTCCCAGGATCCTGATGGGATGGAACTGGAGGAGAAAGGAGTGCAACGTGACCAGGCCTGTTGGATGCTTTCCTCTTCTCTCATGTGCACACATGTTCTATCATCATTTTAATTTTTTTTGGAGAGGTTTTTGCTGTAGGGCGCATGCGCTTGCCAGAAAGACAGAGAGAGAGACAGAGACACAGAAAGCAAGAAATCACCCTCCAGAGGGGATGGCCACACCGCAATCCCTTCTCCTCTATTCTCCTCTTGGGATCCTGGGCACGCACTCGCATGCACCCGGCGTGAGTTTATGCCACCAGGTCCGGGACTAGAACCGTGGTTGACTACATGGGGGTCCAGCAACATAGCCATTATGCTAACTGCTGGTCCCTGTGATGCCTTTTTGCATAGAAAATCATAGAAAAATAAAAAACTTTTCCAGTGACACAATATATGAAGAAAATTCAGCCCCACACAGATATGTTGTTGGAGAAGGCAGGAATTTTCTGATAGTATCTTAAATAATTGTGGCTACTCGTATGTAGCTTTGACAGCATGCCAAAATTTGAAAATGACCAATTGTTTTTTAATCGCTGGAGGGTGTGTGTACTCACAGAGACAGAGAAAGAGGGAGAGAGTACTCTCCAATGGGGCATGATCACGCCACAGTTCTTCCCCCCTTCTCTATCCTGTTGGGATTTTGAGCATGCCTGCACACATGCCTGGTGTGTTTTTCCAATTTTCTGGGCTGAGATTCAAACCAGGGTCAGCCATGTGGGATCTGATCCCTTAACTACTCGGCCGCAGGGTCAGCTCCCAAATGGTCATTTTTTAAAGGTTAGCTGTGACATGAATTCTGAAATTATATCAGTGAACTTTTCATACATTGTTAACAACTCCATGTTTCGAGTCCTGGACCTGGTGGCCTAAAGAACACGCCAGATGTGTGTGCATATGTCCCCAAAATCCTCACAGGAGACTAGGGTTAGGGATTGTGGCAGGGCCATTTCCCTGGGGGGTGATTTGTCACTCTCTGTCTCTCTAGTGAATGCATATGCCCTCTGGGGCAAAAAATGTAAAACAAAACAAAACAAAATAAATAAGTCTGTCTTTCACTTCTGTCTTTCACTTAAGTATGAGATAAGCATAATTGTTACATGTGGTTCATTTGCTAAATCTTGGTTCACTGAGTTATGCAGATCTTCCAAAGATGACATATTTCATTATACTTGTCAGAAATTACTATCACCACCCATGTCATCTGAAAGGTCTTTAAGTATTTTTTTTTTGGAGAGGTTTTCGCTATAGGGCTAGTGCTCTTGCCAGACAGAGAGAGAGAGACATAGAGACAGAAAGCGAGAAGTCACTCCCCGGGGGGATGGTCACGCCGCAATCCCTTCTCCTCCATTCTCCTCTCGGGATCTTGGGCACACGCGCACACACGCCCAGCGTCCGGTCGACTACGTGGGTGTCCAGCGACATAGCCATTACGTTAACTGCTGGTTCCGGTCTTTAAGTATTGGGAAACTGTCAAGCTCATGTTGGTGGACACAAAATTTCCAAGGTTTTTTGTTTTGTTTTTAAGTAGTTATTTTATTTAATTTTATTTATTCATTTTATTTTAATTTGACCAGACACACACACACACACACACACACATACACACACTCACACACACACAGACACAGAGAGAGACAGAGCCAGAGAGAGAGAGAGAAAGTGAGAAAGCAAGCCACCAAGTCTGGGACTTGAACCGTGGTCAGCCACATGGGAGTGTCCAGCTCCTTAACCACCACACCACCTACTTGCTGGTCCCCAAATTTTTCAAGGTTTCAATTTCTGCTTAAAAGCTCAAATTTATTATGGGCCACAAAATACTGTCAGTTTATCTTGAAGTAAACAGGTCACTTTGCTAACTTTCAAAAAAGTAGATGCCAAATGCCCAAGCGTGAATAACTACTATATGTCTGCCAATTATTCTTTCAAGTAATTCTCCCCGAGAAAATAAAGTGGTCAGTCGAGTTTGCAGCTCAGTTATACCAAGGCTTTTGTCCAGACAAACCTAGTTTTTGTTATGGAGCAGAAGTACTTTGTGGAAGCTTTCTTTTTACCATATTGACATTTTTAGGAGTGTCCCCAAGGGTACCAGTTTAATAAAATCAGTATCTTTTGCTGCTTTACCGAACATTCTTACTTTTACTGTAAGTGCGTGGCAGTGACGAATACAGTCGTAGCTGGTTCCAGCTTTGCTTTGTGCTAAGAATGAGCAGCTTTACCTACTATTGCATTTGCATTGTAGTGCAAACGTCAACACCGTCATTCCAGGAAAAGCCTTAAGAGCTGAAGTAGTTAGCAACACTGTAAGTATTTCTTACCCTTGTGTATGTGGCTGGTTTCACATAAAAGATCTTCATCCGTGCCCATTTGGTGCTGATAGCAGACAAATGCAAGCCACACAGCAAGAAAGCAATGAGTAGAGATTCTCTTGGAAGGCAGAAGTACAGTTCTGTTGATAAGATACTAATTTATCACATCTATCTTTAAATTATTCATTTTTGTTTAGACTGAATGATTGGTCTCAATTAGATGCTGCAGTTAACTTGCTGCATAATACTATTTGAAACATTCTGCTGCATAAGACACAATAAGGGCTAATAAATTACTGACATTTGTAAAGCCAAGTTTTGGAGTAGGTGGGTCAAATACCCAAGGAAAAATAACTTTCCTCATATTTGCTCTTTATTCACAGTTTAGGCCACTTTCTTTGGAGTAGATGTCTCTGTCCAATGAGTCACAGAATTCTCTGATGTGCCTAATGAAACAGCTGTGAGATAAGGAAGGCCGATCATTTTTTTTAAGACAGATTTTTTGCTGTAGAACACACGACGGAAAGACAGAGAGAGAGAGAGAGAGAGAGAGAGAAAGTGAGAAATCACTGCCCAGAGGGAATGGCATACTGCAATCCTTTCTCCTCCGTTCTCCTTTCAGGATCCTGGGCACGTATGCACACATGCCTGGCATGAGATTCAACTCGCCAAGTCCAGGACTTAAACTGCAGTCAGCCATGTGGGAGTCCAGTGCCTTAACCCACTATGCAACCTGCCAGCCTAAGAAGGCAAATTTTTAAATCCTCCTTTCTAAAGCCAATGATCCATTCTGAAATATAAAAAAAAAAAAAAAAAAAAAAAATTATTTTTTAAATAAAATATTTTTAAATTCTAAAATATGCATTAACACATATGAATTACGCATTGTACTCATGATAAAAACATTTACATTTAAACTATGTAGAAAATAAAATTAAAATTATTTAGGTAAAAACTTTAAATATGGAAAAATTTTCAAAAAAAATTTTTAAATACTACTGCAGAAAATCCTAACAAAGTGTTCTTGTTTCTTCTTATGCTTCCATGTCAGCAAATGGAAAAATACAAGACTGTTTAAATAATTATTTTTATCCTAATGGGCTTATAGATATTCCATCAGGTGTAACAAGTAGTAAAATCACAGTAGAAGAATAGAGAATAAGTTAAACTTAATCTGAAAAATCACATGCGAAAGTACTACCACAAGAACATACGAGCGTGTGTCCTGTTGTGTGTCAGAACAATAGCATCGTCACGTGTAGCCTCTGGATGGTTCCACTGTCTGCTAAGAGTGAGAGGGGAAAAGGTAAATGCCATCTTAGTGTTTTTATGAAAATAGTTTTGACCTCACAGAGCCCCTGAAGGGGTCTCAGTTTCCCCATCTCTCCCCAGCAAGAGTTCTGTGGATCCCAGTGTGTGAGTTGCTGCATAACCTTATTTCTTTTTTGTTGTCAGAGTGTATGTGCATACGTGAAAGAGAGAAGGATAAGAGGGGTAGAGAGAGAGAAAGCACCTCCCAAGGGGACCTGGTCACACTGCAGTTCTTACTCCTCCAGTTCCCCATCCCATCAGGATCCTGGGCACATGTGCATGCACCAGGCATGTAAGCCACTGGGGCCAGGGCTGTAACCTGTCTACCACCTGGAATCCGGCTTCCTCTGCTATAGGCCTACCTCCTTCCACCCTTTTTTCTTAAATGAGATAAAGCACACAAACACAGGAAAGATGAGTAGTTTTGATACATTCTTACTTCATAACAATCCTTACTGCACCTGCCCTATTTAAGTTAGTCTGGGAATCGGGACCAGCAGTTAGCGTAATAGCTATGTCGCTGGACTCCCACGTAGTTGACCGCGGTTCGCATCCCAGACCCAGTGGCTTAAACTCACGCCAGGCGCGTGCGCGTGTGTGCCCAAGATCCCGAGAGGAGAATGGAGAAGGGGTTGCGGCGTGGCCATCCCCCCGGGGGGTGATTTCTCGCTTTCTATCTCTCTGTCTCTCTGTGTCTCTGTCTCTCTGTCTCTCTCTCTCTGTCTGTCTGGCAGGCGCATGCGCCCTATATCAAAAACCTCTAAAAAAAAAAGAAAAGTTAGTCTGGGAATCAAACACAGGCCTCCCACGTTGCCTGAGCCATTCTGTGATGTCCTCCAGCTTGTGCCACATGATGGGCCTACATAATCTTTTACTACTGCTGTTACTTTCTCTGTAGTATTTCGAAACATTGTTTGTTTTTAATGGGAGGTCCATCTTGGTGTAACAATTTACAGATTCTACTCAGTCTCAGTCAAAGCATCCAGGTATCTCAATTCAAGGTATAGAGGCAATGTGATTTTAAAATACTTTTGACTTACTAACTTTAAATTTTGTTGGAAATA